GGGAACAGTGTTGTGGAATTGGGGAAGGGGAACATTATGTTTTTCCAGGACCCATCAGCTCCAAGTCAAGTTGTTGTCCTTCAATCTTAGTTGTGGAGGGCACAAACTGAGCTCCAGGTTCTGTCACCACTTTCAATCTAGTTGCGGGGGAGAGGAGGGGGCAGGGGGCCACAGCCCACCATCCCAAGCAGGAGTCGAACCGGCAACCTAGTTGTTAAGAGCACACACTCTCACCAGCTCAGCGGCAACTCAGCTCGGGCGCAGCTCACTGGCCCATGTGGGAATCGAATTGGCGACCCCGTTGCTCAGAGCTCGCGCCCTAACCAACTGAGCCACTTGACCGGCCCCTGGCTCTCTTTCCAGTCGAGAACCAAAATCTTTATTTTTTTCAACTAATATCAATCTCCTGAGTTCTCCGCAGCTCTGCAGAAGGTTGATCCAAACCCATCCCCCCATACAAATGAAGAAATCCTCGGAATTTAAGTCCCAGGGAGTATTGTCCCTGCTCTGGACCCTGGGTCTTAGAGCAAAACTCTGAATCATACACGATGAAAAATTATTCAGGGGTCCCCTGCCCTGGATACATTTCCTCCCGAGCAAAGTAAGGAGTCTATAGGATCCCTGGAGTTTGTACCTGTTTCATCACCCATGCTCTGGGAAACCTGAACCCTCGAATTCTGTATGCAGAAGACCCCAAGCATGTTTTGATGGCTGTGTCCCACCTCCCAAGGCAGATATACCAGCAGCATGAGCACTGCTGTGTTAGGTTTGGCCAAGGGGAGAATCAAAGGAGTGAAATGTAATTGCTATTTGCAAGCATTGCTGAAGCCATTAGTTTTTCAGTCAAATGCTTCTGCCAACACTTGTAAGTCCAAAGTTAGAAATTAAATGAAATGTTTCAAGTTTAGAGCTATTGGGAACAATGCTTCTCTGGTACATGTGTAAGACTTTCTTTCTGGCTTATAAACCTGAGTGTAGAACTGCTAAGGCACAATGAATATGAATTTTCAACTTTAAAAGGTAGTGAACTATTTTCCAGAGTGATTGCGTCAATTTATATTCTTACAAATAGCATAGGAGAGCATCTGTTACTCCATATCCTCAGTGACACTTGTTATTGTCGGTATTTTTATGATTATCATTATAGTAATTTTACAGAATAATTCATGGAGAAATGGCATATTTTACTTAGTTTATCTCTTCAGTCTCTTTGTTTACCTCTTCCCTTATCTAAAGCTTTTAAAATGCCTTACTTGGTCTTTTATGTTTTGTTTTGTTTTGTTTTGTTTTTTTTTAATGAAAAACTACTCTTTTTTAGCTGTATTTCATTTCTTCTTAGATTCATGACATCTTTAAATTACATTTTCCAGTTGTTTGTGCCTGATTTGGGGGAATGTAACTGATTTTGAATGTTGACTAGGGAGTCACCAATTTGAATGAACTCTCTTCTTAATTCTAATTGTTTCCCTATAGGTTCTCTTTGATTTTCTATGAAGTATAAGTATAGCCTTCAAGTAATAACTATTATCTTAATTTCTAATATGTATATATTGTCTTTATTTTTTTCTCATCTCATTGGCCAGGGCTCTGGGACAATATTGATTAGAAATGCACCCCATGGCGGATAATATAATCCTTTTAATGTGCTCTTGTATTCAAATTGTTAATGTTTTGTCAAAGATTTTTGTGTCTGTATTCATCAGGGATATAGGTCTGTAGTTTTCTTTTCTTGTGGTGTCCTTATCTGGCTTTGGTATCAGGGTAATGCTGGCCTCATAAAATGATTTTGGGAGTGTTTCCTCTTCTTCAATTTTTTTGACGTTTGAGAAGGTTTGATATTAATTCTTCCTTTAATGTTTCATAGAATTCAACAGGAAACCATGTGGTCCTGGGCTTTACTTTGTTGGAAGATTTTTGATGACTGATTCAGTCTCCTTACTAGTTATTGGACTATTCAGATTTTCTGTTTCTTCCTAATTCAGTCTTGGTAGGTGTTATGTTTCTAGGAATGTATCCATTTCCTCTAGGTGTGTGATTGTTCATGGTTAGCTTCTTATCCTTTGTATTTCTGTGGCATCTGTTGTAATGTCTCCTCTTTCATTTATTTATTTATTTAAGTCTGCTCTGTTTTTTTTCTTAGTCTAGTTAAACATTTGTCAGTTTTGTTTATCTTTTTTTTAAAAAAATAGCTCTTATTTTTGTTAATCTAATGTTTTCTCATTTCTCTCTTTTTGTCTGCTCTGGTCTTTGTTATTTTCTCCTTTCTGCTAACTTTGAGCTTTGTTTGTTCTTCTCTTTCTAGTTCCTTGAGGTGTAAAGTTGGGTTATTTATTTGAGATCTTTTTTTTTCTTAATGCAGGCATTTATCACTGTAAACTTGCCTCTTAGAACTGCTTTTGCTGCATCCCATAAGTTTTGATATGTTGTGCTTCCATTTTTGTTTGTTCCAAGATTTTTTAAAATTTCCTTTTTGATTTCTTCTTTGACCCACTGGTTATTCCTTTCTCCTGGATTCACTTTATTTATTCATAAAGTATAACTTAAAATAGTCCACTTGTAACAAAAGTGGTAAATTGCCTTGGTATTTTTCCTGAAAACGTCTTCATTTTATGCTCATTCTTGAATGAAAGTTTAACTGAGTAGAATTCTTAATTGATAATTTCCCACTATACTTTGGAGTTAAGAAGAGCTTGGGCATGGTAGACAGCTATCAAAAAGCATAAAATAGTTAAGATATGGGGGATGGAGTGAGAAGATTTACCTCTCAAGAAGATAATATAAAATGTAAGGAAAGGCAATTTTCAAGGAAACATGCCTGAGAATTTCCTGCATTGATGATTTCTCAGTTTGAAGAGCCACACCTAGCCTCACAAAGCATTATTACAAATAAATCTTCATCTGGTCTCTAGGAAAACTGTAGTAGAAAAAAATGAAAGAAAATCTTAAATCTTAAACCAAAGGCAGATAATTTCCAAAGGAACAATAATTACAATAGCAACATTGAAGGCAGAAGACAGAAAAATATCTTCAAGGGCTGTGGGAGTGACCTATCAATGAAAAATTCTAAATGCTGAACAGATTGGGGGCAGCAAGAATACTATTCCTTAAGCCACATGGCTGTCTCATAGGATCTCCTTAGAGACCCTTGAAAACTGGGTACAGAGCCTTCTGTAAATGAACTAGGCTCATTACAAGGTAAATGAATGATGTTGGATAATAATTTTCTATCTCTTATTCATTCAGCTAAGAGTTATGATGGTTCTAAGTGTGCCAGGAATTGTGCTAGCAATTGTGCCCACAAGAGTAAACATAATAGATGGGTCCCTACTTTCACAGAGTTTGTAACCCACCCACTCTTTCTGCCCCTCCACCCATGCAGTGGTATTCGGATCATGGTTTGACCATGTTCGTGGCTGGATATCCATGCAAGGGAAGGAGAACTTCCTGATACTGAGCTACGAAGAGCTAAAACGGGTAACTATTGTTCTTATGGTTAGCACACACCTCTCACCACTATCTTCACTCCCTCTAACTTCCCTTTGTTCCTCTGAGTCTCTATTCCACCTTCTCAAAGTTTAGCCTTGTGAGGGGTCATTAGGAGTGAACACAGCAACTTGGTCTTCACTGTCCTGCTTCTGGCTGGCATGCCCAAGCGCCATGCTTTTTTTTTTCTTTCTTCATGTGTTCTTCTTGGTTTCATTTTACAACATCTTAAGAGCTTTTTCATGCACTGAGACAGAGCAAAATGGCTTATACTCACATTGGCAACTGATTCTAAAATTTCTAGGGATAGGACACACCTAGTGGTGAGAGGGAATTGAGGAAGAAAATGGGACCGAGTAGAAGTGGTTCTGGAGATGTGTGCAACTGCCTGGCATCTCAAATTGGTTAACAGAAGAAAAACGAAGTCATAAAATCAATCTGTGTAATTATTCTGACAGGCCAAGGTCTGGGCTGACCAGAGATGAACAAGAAAAATTGTCAGAAGATGCTCAAAACCACTCAGGGTGATTAAGCCATTGAAAGAAGGACTTTACTTATTAGTTTCATCTTGGAGAAAAGAGTTAAGAACACAAACAGGCTTTTGCTTCTATCTCAGAAACATTACTTCCTACAATCTTCCTCTGACTACTTCGATGCAATCCTTTGTGGCCTCCACATGAATTTCATTTTTACCCAGAAGCCTTTTGCAACATGTTCAGCTGTGTCAGGTACACGTTCCCAAACTTTGCTGTAATTATGCTTTCAAGCCACAAAATGAATTTATTGTAGTATTTTCTACAGTCCTGTGTTTTCTTGTAAGATCACGGAATAAAGAAAAATTTTAAAGCATTGTAGCCCTAAAAGGAATGTCTATGGTTCAAAGCAAAGTGTTTCTGGCTATAAAATCCATTTCCTTATAATGACCTCCTAGGGTCACGCGCCAAGTACTAACTACTGAGATAATATATATATAAGAAGATATTGTAAAACTCTTGTGTGTGTGATTCAAACGTTAGTAATGAAAAACAGTATTACTGTTGGATGGCACAGTCAGCGTTCGAAATAAATCCCTTAAACCTTTATCACATTCTTCCTGAACCTCTCCTTGCTTAATTCTCATCATAATCATCTAGAAGCCTTTCTAAAAAGTCTCTTTAGAAAACCCAGGCTCTGTATTCGACTATTAAGGTGTCCTGAATTCAGCCACACTGGGAAATCTATGTTGGTCCTTGCATCTTTTGTATACTCATATTTGTGCTCTTTCTTTTTTACTTTCTTCTCTTTCTTCCTCCTAATCACATCCAGCTCCATGCATCTCGCTTCTACACTGTTCCTCTCTTTCTCTCCCCCCTCCTCCTTCTCCTCATTTTGCCATTTCCTCCTTCTTATCTCCTTTTCTATGTACTTTCTTTCATATCCCTTTTCTTGCTTTTTCTCCTTCTAGGATACAAGAAGTGCTGTACAGAAGCTCTGTCAGTTCCTGGGCAAGAAATTAGAGCCGGAAGAACTGAACTCAGTCCTCCAGAACAGCTCCTTCCAGGCCATGAAAGAAAACAAGATGTCCAATTATAGCATGCTGCGTGGTTGGCTTTTAGATCAGAAGAATGGATCATTTATGAGAAAAGGTAACAGAAAATGATCCAGCTTCAGAATGTATCAGAATATGAGGGCATTCTTGTGCGTACAGTAGGCCTCTAACAGTTGGGACCAGGGAGTGTTTGAACTTATCAACTTCCTCATCACCCAGAGAACTTCTCACATGCCCTTATCAGAGAGTCAATTTTCATAACACTGATGTGAGCTGCAGGCACTTGGAGAAGCTAGGTTAGACCTGGAAGGGTCAATGGACTTGTACAAGGTCATTCAGATTCTCTCTCCTCCAAATTTGGCATGGGGGACACCCACTCTATAAGTGGTGACCAGGTGAATTCATTATGCCTGCCAACCATCCAGCTATGATTTACCTGGGAAGTGAGGACAGGAGTGGGGGTGGTCACGTTGGTGCTACCCCACTGGTGGTTTAGTATAGACAACTATCCTGAACCAAGAAATATATAAACAATGACTCAACTGGAAAAGGGAGAGAGGGGAAACTTTTCACTTAGCTGAGAACCTGTCTTGTTATCAGGTTCTTGTAAGGGCCCCATGATGAAAGAGTAATCATGTCCACGTCCTTGGGCTCAAGATGAATGCAGCACGGGATGCAGGGAATAGCAGGAATGCATTTTCCCAAAACCCTATTGTTCCAGTATACCCAGGGTGGTGACTCATGGAAGAAAGAAATTAAATAATTCAAAAGACCTTGCGTAGGTGGGGGCTGCCACCCAGGGCAGAGGGACTGGGGGCCATTACCCCAATGGTCCAGGAGGTCAGAGCATCAAGACAAAGAGGCTAATTCTCGATCCTCAAAATCTAGATGGGTTACTAGGCTTATCATGACCACGTAGTGAGGTATATAAAAGTCATATCACTATGTTGTGCACTTGAAATATAATATTGTGTGCCAACCATACTGTAATAGAAAAAAATGTAATCTAATGGAAATTGCCCTGCTAGGTTTGGGGTTTGCTTGGGACCACTGATCTCTTCCTTCTTTCCGATTTATTTCTTCTGGAATGGTGGTGCCTTTCACACCATTGTATTTTGGAAACAGATAACTTGTTTGGTTTCACAGGCTTGCCTGCACAGAAACATTATCTCACCTGATGTTTCATAGGGGGCAGCCTATTGAATTTACAGAGATTCTGGTACCTCAAGACCTCGTACTGGCTTACTAAATGTCAGGTGCATTGTACGCCTGAAACTAATGTACAATAATATTGAATGGCAACTATAATTTAAAAAAATTGTCATGGGGATATATAGTACAGCATAGGGAATATAGTTAATAATATTCTAATAACTATGTACAGTGTCACATGGGTAATGGACTTATTGGGGTTATTACTTTGTGAGGTGTATAAACGTCTAATCACTATGTTGTTTTGTACCTGAAACTAATAAAAATAAATAACAAATAAAAGTCAGGTGGGTTATGGAGGATTCATGAGCATAAGAAATAAATTATAATGAAAATTGTTCTAATAATGAAGGTAATGATGAGCATGAGAGCAACAGTGGGTGTTTGCAGGGCACCCATTATTTATTAGACATTCTGTTATATTATTTTTATGCATATAAGTTAAGCACATAAATTTATATGTGATTATATATTATTCAGTTATATAGGAACTTAATTAATGTATTGATTTACTTAGTATATTACTATAATACCAAGTATTCATTTATATAATATATAAAATAGTAACATGATCATATAATTAAGAGTATGGCTTCTGGTGTCAAAATGTTTGGCTTCAAATCCACATCCATCACTTTCTAACTGTATAACTTCTCCAGGTCTCTTTTTCCCTCATCGGTAAAATGGAGATAATGATAGCACACCCCTCATTCTTTTAGTCATCCTTTCAACAAGTATTTGAGTACATATTATGTGTCTATAACTTTGAAACACTAAGTCTTTGGCCATTCAAAAAGAGAAGTTTGTGACTTTCTAAAACATATATTGGAGATACATGCCATACACAGACACACGCACACAAAGGAAAAGACATATAGCATATCATATGTGAAAAGTCAAGTACAGCAAGGGTGGGGATTCACAGTTCCATATTAGATGGTGGGCAGGAGAGAACCTCACTGAGAAGACCGTGTTGGAATAAAGACTTGAAAGAAGCCAACGAATAAGATGGATATATCTGAGAGAATAGCACTCCAGCAAGAAAGGGATGTGAAATAAAAATAGTCTGAGAAGGGGGGATGCCTAGCCTGTTTGAGGCAGAATCAGAAGACTCAATGAAATAGAGTCTTGAGTGAACAAGTGCATGGTCATAGGAGATGGGTCAGAGAAATTACAGGGAACCAAATCACCTGGAGCCGTGGAGAAGCACAAGTACTTTCACTGAATGAAACCAGAGGTCCTTGGAGAATTTGAGCAGGAAGTGACATGATCTGGCATAGTTTCTTAAGGAATCAAGATGGCTGCCATGTTCAGAATAACTTAAAACGGAGAAAGATCAAAAACAGAGAGACTAGGGGCGAGCCAGGTGGCTCAGCTGATTAGAGCTCAAGGTCTGAGCAACAGGGTCGCCGGTTCAATTCCCACATGAGCCAGTGAGCTGCACCCGAGCTGAGCTGCTGCTGAGCTGCCAACAAGTGGCAGGATGGCTCAGCTGGTGAGAGCACGTGCTTCTAACAAGTTTGACTCGTGCATGCGATGGGGGCTGCACACAATCCCCCACCCCCACCCCATCCCCCACAACTAGATTGAAAACGGTGACTGGACTTGGAGCTGAGTTTGCGCCCTCCACAACTAAGGTTGAAGGGCAACAACTTGACTTGGAGCTGATGGGTCCTGGAAAAACACAATGTTCCCCTTCCCCAATTCCCCAACATTGTTCTCTTCTCCAACTCCCCAATTAAAAAAAGAAAAAAAACAGAGACTAGTTAGAAGTGTAATACAATAATGTAGGTGAGAAACGATGTTGGCTTGGGCCAAGGTGATAGAGATAGAGGTGATGAGCAGTGGCCAGATTCTAAATGTAACAGAACATGGAGCTGCTCTATTGCCAATAAACTGTATCCACGATGGGTTGGGAGAGAGGAGAATATAGGAAATCGTTTCCAGGAAGATGGAAGTGTAAATAGGTATCATGGCCCACCAATGGGCCATTGGTCATCCTGCTATATTAGCTACAATTTCCATGTCAAGTGGACAGAAGGAACAGATTCAGGTGATGTGTTGGGGCCTTGAGACCTACCCCTAGATTTGATTTGAATCTCTATTTTATGTTTGTCAGGCATTTCTGGGGACTGGAAAAATTACTTCACGGTGGCCCAAGCCGAAGTCTTTGATAAAATATTTCAGGAGAAGACGGCAGATCTTCCTCGAGAGCTGTTCCCATGGGAAGAATGGTCAAACACTTCTAGGTCTCAGAGATAAATATTTGTCCTCCTGTCCTTGTTTATGTAAATCATGGGTGGTAATTGTATAAAACCTGTTATTTCATGTTGGAGCCTTGAATGATCAAATCTTTGCATCTTTGATGACTTGATTGTTGAAAATTACCAGGGTAACTCTAATTCACTTCATGGCATCCCAACTTTTAAAAAATATTTGTAATGTTTCGTATGTACAGAATGATACAGAAATAAGTATGATCCAAAGCTATGTCAAATTTCTTTTTTACAGAAATGAGAAATAAAAGTACAAAAGCAGTTAAGGTTCCTTTTTTTTCCATTGCCTGTATCTTTACAAGTTATTATTATTCTGACCTTGTAGTACATAATTCCCAACCTAGCATTATTCTCTTACCATGTGGTGTTTGACTATACTCGTAAATGATATATGGTATTTATGGAGACTTTTAAAATTTAGATAAATGGCATACTGTATAATGCATTCATCAACTAACATTTCCACTCATGCATTTTATATGTGGGTTTCATCCATGTTGATTATATAGCTAGTTCAGCATTTAGTATTGAGGCTTGTAACATATTTCAGTTACCCCTTCTCCTGTAGATGAATCTGGGTTTCTTCCATTCTAGTTTTTCCCTAAAACACTGCTTGGGCCTAACATATGATCTGCCCTGGAAAATGTTTGACAGACGAGTGGATAAAGGAAATGTGGTATATACAAACAATGGAAAACTACTGAGTCTTAAAGAAGGAAATTCTGCCATTTGCAACAACATGGATGAACCTGGAGGACATTACACTAAGCGAAATAAGCCAGACCAAAGGACAAATAGTGCATGATTCCACGTATCTGAGGAATCTAAATTAGTCAAACTCATTGGAAGAGAGTAGAATGGTTATTGCCAAGGGCTGGGGGGAAGAGGAAATGCGGGAACAAAGTTCCAGTTATACAAGATGAATAAGTTCAAAAGACCGGCTGTACAACATCGCACCCACAGTTAATACTGTATTGTGTATTTCAAATTTAATATGGTAGATCTTGTGTTAAGTGATTGTGCTTACATACAGTATTTCATTGGGTGATTGCACCAAAATTTGCTTTATCCATTACTTCGTTGATGGGCACTTGGGAAGTTCTTAGTTTAGGCTTATAATCCTTAATGCACCTTTGAATGTGTCTTTCCATATGTCTCTACATTTCTGTTGGACATACGCCCAGGACTGGAACTGCAGGATCGTTAGATGTGTGTGCATTAAGATTTAGTAGATGGACTGGTTTCCGAGGGGGGAGTTCCAGGTTAAATTTCTACCCGCCATGGTTCCAAATTCTTGCCAAATTAAAATTTTCTGTTTGGTTTTAGCTTTAAGTTAAACTAATAGCAACAAATATAATGTTCCTCTGTGTCTTTTTTCCTGCTTTTCTCCTGCTTGAATATAGAGCATCTCTCCCACCCTACCCACGGTACCCAGCTCTGGAGTGGTGGTGTGTTAATGCCCCCTGGTGGCCATGAGGCATCACAACAGGTATGTGGACACTGTCTCTCCCAGCCCTATAGGTACCCCTGAATGAACCGTATCTTTGATCTGACGCAACTGTGTCTCTAAGCATGTCATTTACTGTAACAACAATTTTAAAACAACTCTAGTTTAGGGTTATTTTCTTCTGGGCATTTTATTCAGAGGAATTTCAGATAAAGAGTCAAATAAGATGGTTTTAATTTTTTTACAAGCAAAATTACTTGCAGATACTGCATTCATTTACTAAAAAAAACGACAATCATTAAAAATCTTTCTTTTTATGGCACTTGACTTTTTAAAGACGGATGTCTGCAAAAGGGACACTCAGATATAGCAATTTTGAATTTCCTTTTCGTGAAACAAAGTCTTGGTATGGTCTTAATGACAGCAATTTATCAACTCTGAGTCCATCTCATCAGCAGAGATTTCACTGAGGACAGTTCTCAGCTTTGCACGTTGAAATCCCTCTGGGAGCTTTCAAAGATACTGGGGCCTGGGGCCCACCCCCAGAGACAGTTTAACTGGCCTGGGGTATAAGAATGCTAAAATTCCTATGTGGCAAAGTTTGAGAACCATGATTTAGAGGAACGGTTCTCAAAGTGCAGTCCCTGGACCAGCAGTGTCAGCATCACTTGGGCAGTGACATATTTGCAGTCCCAGGCCCCACCCAGACGTGCTGAATCAGAAACCAGGGATCTGGGGTGAAGCAGGTGTCTAAACCGAGAGGACCCCTGAGGTGTACATCCTGCAGGGACCTGACAGGCCCTGGCCGACTTGGAGTCTGGGGGAGCCAGGTAACTTGTCTGGTTGGATGGAGGGCTCCCATGAGCAGACTCCAGGTTAAGACAGGTGAGGTGTCGCATGCCCCACCTTCCCTCTAGCCAGGCCAAGGTGCCAGCACACCTGCATCTCAGGTGGTAATTCTGTCCGACTCAAACAGTGCTCCATCCTCTGTACCACTCAGACTCCATTTGTCGCTGATAGAAAATGGGTTACATCTTCTATCCCTCAACTCCTGTCTTTTCATCCCAGAAACAGAGCTCCATAGAAACTGGCCACCATCTTTTGCCTCTGCCTCCAGCTTCCTGGATGATGGTCAGGGTCTTTGTATCTTTTCCACATTTATTCCTCCTGGACAATGGGACATCCTGTATCTCTGAGTCCAAATATATCCCATGCTGCTCCCTGGATATCTCAAAACAGGTTTCCTGTGATTCAGAGACCTGCTGAATTCAGAGACACCCTTCTGGTCCCTTCTGGCCCCCTCATTCCTGGTCTTTCCAGATTTCCATTTGACTTCCTTCTCCCCTCTCTCCAATCCTCACAAAGCAAAGACACTTCTACCTGAACCATCGCCATCTCCACCCCAGGGCACCCAGAAGGAATTAAGCTTGAACTTTACCCATTCGTTGAAGGTCCAATGACTTTTCTTCATCTGTTCCCTGAGTCCTTTTCCTACATACCCTGTGGCTGAGTCTAGAAGCTTCACCTTCTCCACAGCAAACTCCACAGTAGATTCACATCTTTACCATTGATGCCACAGAGACCGATAGATATACAAGGATCACCATGGAAACCACCAAAGATGGATCACTATGTATCGTAGGGCTCACCATAGTTTCCAACAGATCAACAGGGCTGCCCATAATCATATGATTGCTTGTGCAACAATTTTTATATTTTTTTGCTACAGGTAGGCAAACAAAGAGAAATTCTTGCTTTAGCACTACCCTGGGGGACACCAATATGGGGACGTTCCAAGACCTGCCTTCAGGAAGTCACTGCCTCCCTACTTCCTGAGCTGGCAGGAAGTCCAGATGCTTCCATTGGGGACGTCAGGACACAGCCTGGGCTTGTGAGGCAAGGTGAAGTAGAGCTTCCTAGGGGATGATAAAGATTCCTGGATTCAGAAGGGGGTGGGGGGAGGTACTGGGACTGCTGGGGTCAAGAGGGGAAATGGAATTGAGAAGATGAGGAAGGGAGGACCCTGTTCCACTTGATCCATTCACTTTCTATTCAGACAGTCAGGGCTAATGCAAACTTTTGTCTCCACTGATAAAAAATTAATCTGTTTTTCATTAATTGATGGTCCTTGGGTGCCTGGAGGTCCCCAGGGGCACCACCCTCCCTCCTCCACTGCCCAGGGCGAGAGTCTGAATCTTATCTCAGCCTCCTGCCTCTAGGATGCCCACAGGGCCTTCCACACCTTTGCTCCCCGCTCCTGGGATATATGGAAACATCTACCCTCCCTGCCCTCTTCTATGTCAGGGTCTAACTGGGGTTGTGGTTTCAGTGATTTTTGTGTATCCATCCTACCAGGGTCTGTCAGATAAGCAAGAAGGGCTTTCATTATATCCTGGCAGTCTATCTCCCCTCCTCCCACGCCACAGCACTCCCCTTCAGAGCCTGTCACATGAGTGCCCCCGGCTCCCAAATCTGATCTAATTTTCACTGTGCTCTGCTGAGGCTGGCGGGCCTAAGAGGATTGGAGCATTTGCTAAGTGGGACGGGACAGGGTCAGAGAACCGGCTGTGGGGAGACTCAGGGGCCAGGATGGCCACAGGGTGGGGAAGCAGAGGAAGTGGGAGATGGAGTCAATGGGGCCTAGAGAAGGGGTGAGGGGTGCTCCTCCAGTGCTGGGGGCTGAGGGTACTAACAAGAGGGGCAACACTCCCAGCCGCTTCAGGAAACAGTGTTTACAAGATGATCACTTTATTAATTTTTAAATTATCAAGCCTAAAACAATGTCCAGATAAGTCATTAGAATTTTAACTATTTGAGCCACATCCATGGCTCAAAATAATAAAATCGCCTGATAAAAAATAATGTCAACTGAATCCTACAGACAGAACAAATATTAAAATACATTTAAAAATACTATCCAAAATGTCAGGCTATAATAAGGTACGAGAAATAAACCCACAGAAATATGTATTTAAGATCTCTATGGTTAAATAATAGCACTTGTGAGGAGTCGTTGTTAACCAAACGAAGAAATAAATAAGTAATACACTTAGATTGAAAAGTTCAGTACTGTAAAGATATCAATTACTCCCCCCAAAATTTATGGATTTCATGCAATTTGAATTAAAGAACCGAGTCTGGTCTTAGAAGTTGCCGCAACACCACTACAGCGAAAACACCAACAGGAACCCCAGCCCGACTCCTAGACCTAGGAACCCATACACATGCTCACCGGCGTTCTAAGTCATGGGGCTGGGCATTCAGAGCAGCGCCACACGTGGTGACCGCACAGTGAACACAGCAATGCCACCTCCCCAGGATGGATAAGTGGAGGTTCATTCACACTGCAGACCCACTAGGCACCAGTTCCCGCGACCGCGTGGGCGTCCTGCGCTGGCCGAAGACACCTAGTCTCCTCTGGCCCTGCAAGATCCGATCTGAAGGACTTTGCGGGGACAGAATCCCCTACAGATCCAGTAATGTCCTGGGGCCCGAGTCCTTGTCATCCACACAGTCATCTCTCTCTTGATACACAGGAGTGGAGAGAGACAAGGGTTCCTCCAAAAGGTCTTGGAGCGAGGGCAGCTCTGTGAAATCATGGATCACAACAGGGTCGGGCGAGAAATCCGAGGCGTAGGGGCCCTGAGGCCAGACTGGAGCCGGCGCTGGCACTGGAGCTGGCGCTGGGGCGGGCGCAGCCGGGACCATCTCCTGGGCGCCCTGCGCAGGGTCCCACCAGGCCTG